AAATTCAATTTTTACTTTTGAATTATATCCTGGTAAAACCAGATAAGTTAATAAACTTATTAGTAGTTTTGATTGTTATTTATTAAACGTTGATTTAATTATGGTTGTAATACATCAATGAATGGATGAATTTTTTACATAGGAGTATACAGGAAGAAATCTTCCAAATACTTCTTCTCAAGAACCTGGGAACAGCAAGGCCATGATTGGTCATATTTAATTGTAAGCATCCTCAGGTAATGTAAATTCGAGTTTGTTTAAATCATGACCACTTGAGGAGGGGGGGGTGTTGTGGATTGCACTTTCAAATTTCCATGATTGTCAAATGGAAGCTCCTCGGGAAGTGTTTATTAAAGTTTATTTAAATCATGACCCCCGGGGATAGGGTTGGGTCACAATGGGTGATCGGAGCTTTACATAGGAATTCATAACAAAATCTATAAATATCTCTTCTCTAGAACTGCAAAGCCGTGATTGGTCATATTTATTTGGAAGCATCCTCAGGTTGTGTAAATTCAAGTTTGTTCAAGTGGGGACCCCTGAGCTGGTGTCCACATGAGGGACCAAGTTAATTTTTTTGAGCAGGTTTGTTCTGAATTAACTATTTGTTGTACCTTGACCAAAATTGCATGGATATCTAAGGATGCACTTGTCTTGACTTGCTTTGGATACTGAATTTGACCTTTTTCCAGATGAGAAACCAGGTTAAAGTTTTTGATGCAGATTCATTACAAAGATCTGAACCAAACTTGCATGGATGATGCATCAAGGGATGATCACTGTTTAATTTGCCTCAGATGCTAGATTTGAATTACATTTACTGAATGAGTTATTATTTTAAAGTTTATGGATGTCCAAGTACCATTACTCAAGTAACTTCAAGGTATAAAGTAGGTATCTATATACATGTATTAATGTTTCATCAAATCTTCATTAAATAATGGAAAAACATAATATTGATTTCAGAATGCTTTATTTTTTAAGTGATATCAAAACAATACACATTATTATCCCTGCATCCTACGATAAGTAAGCCTCCCACCACCACAGGAGAGGAAAATACCTCCCCAGGTAACTTGACTGAATTCACCTCTTGTCCTTTATCCGTGTCTATGATTGTTATGTTACCATCTTTTGAGGTGACCACACAATATGGGTATTTACATTGCATCCTTTCAGAACTAAATCGATTGAAATCAGCTGTTGTGTTGAGAATTCTAGACTTATTCAGTTGATTCTGAGTGTTACTTGAGATCTTCAATCCACTGCCACCTTCATGTAAATTATTGTAGGAATTAGACCTGTCTCCAAAACAGAAACAAGTGGAGTAGACAAAGTCTGTTGAGCGATGTTTCCAGACTTGCTGGCCGTCAGGAGTCAGACAGTACACACAGCAGTCATGGGATCCCACTAGGATCAATGTATTGGTCATGTCAGAGGCAGTACTGACAGGTGCTACCAATGGGGATGAAAACACAGGTGCTCCAGTAGCAAATATCCACACCTGAAAAATTAAAAACTTGAAAGACTATAAATACTATTATCAATAACGAAAGTTGTTTGTTATAATTATATAAAAGGAATCTAATATTGCTTTCTGCTCTGGTCTTTAATGTGCAAAATAAGTAAATTAAGGCCAAATCACATATTAAAATCATAAGTAAATGCTTTGTAGAATAAATGAGCTTATTCCAATGTTTCTTTTCTCTGAAGTAAAGGTAAACTTATGTGTAAGAAAGTACCGTATAAGCAGAATTTTTAGCTTGAATTTAATTTTGGCATAATTAGCGAGGGTGCTAAAATTGCTTAAATTGAATATCGCTAAAAGATAATTGTGTTTTATTTGTATCGGTTTTAGAGAGCATTTTAAAACCCCTAATATAATACTGTAAATCGTTTTAATTCCACGGTGCTAAAATTTCACAATTTCTCAAAAACTATCAATCGCGATGGTTTTTATTTCACGCTGCAAGAGATTATTTAAGATTTTGTATAACCATTAAAATGTTTCTTAAACTAATAATAGGATTCAGGATGGGTTTAATTTCACAGAGAAGTTATAAAACACGAACATAGTAAAAATAAAACCATCGTGATTATTTGCCAGTCTACAGTATCTTGCTAACAATAAATTACCAAATTTTCAGGACAAATTTCTAAATTTGTGTCTCGATAAAATTTTCACTTATGCGGTAACTCTACTCCACACAATTGTATTTCTTACATTTATAGCTGAAATACTAGTACTATGAAAGTGGACAGCTCTTAAAATATTGTCACTAGAAAGCACAATGAAAAACTGCTGGAATTTATACTGTGTACTTAAAAGCTCACAGCAAAATAAATACTTGAAATAAAAAGATTACACCATTTTCACCCATACCAATTTTCCCTGGTGATCTAACTGATACAAATTGCCGTCCACACATCCAACACATGGACCAGTGCTTGTTAAAACAGGGGAAGAAAACATCGGCTTCTCTGTATTGTACATCCAAATGATGCAGCCAGAGGTCTGGAGGAGAAATGTTCTATAAATGTACTTTACCAGGTATGTGTATTTGGAATTGAGACATTTAATTTACAATTCTCAAACAACTGAAGCACTGGTCTAGAATTTGATTTTCCATGTATATTTAATCTATAATAATAATAAAAAAAAACTTTCTATTTGTATGGAAATCTGTGACTAGTATAAGAAGATTGCTTTAAAATCTAATGTATAAAAGAAAATATATTTGTATGGAAATAATGTTTCTGTACAAATAAAGATGAAATTAGAGACAGGAGGTATCTTACAGGGTTTATGGCTGCTATGTGACCTGACAAGGAGCAGACACAGACATAACGAGGGTCAGTAGACACAGCGGGGGAGGAAAACACACTACCCCCACCCACCTCAACTCTCCAACAACACCTCTGGTCCTGTAATGGAATGACAAACACAATGTAAGATAAAATACTGAATAGTGACAGTAAATTGTTTAATACTAGTAAAGATGTGAGTATGAGTAAAACCAGAGGTATAGGATGAGTGAATGCCTAAACTGCATGTAAGATCTGGTACACAGATCATAAGTTTCATTACTTTTATAAATTACAACAATATGTGATAGATTAGTTCACAAACAAAATAGGAAAATGCAAAAAATGTGAAATCTTACTAGGTAAATGTATGTTGTTAATTAAGCATGCATGGAATATCTACTTTCTGTAAATTCAAACATTTACAGATTACCCTATTTTGCTACATATTGCTACTGTACATGCTACCAAATAAAAATACCTCAATACTGAGTGCATGAACCTGGTGATCATGTGACCCTATAAATATCCATCCAGTAATGGGGTCCACCATAGGAGAACTCTTTACTGCTGATTTAGTTTTATACAGCCATCTTATCTTTCCAGTGTCTCTGGTCAACGTATACACTCCACCATCATAACAACCTAGTCAATCAATATTTACTTCAATCAACACTAATACTGCTTAAATGTTCTTCATGTATGTCAACTTTCAATTAAATTAAGATCAAAATTTGGGAGAATTAATAGAATAGGTTAGATATGATGAAATTTACAGAAGTGGCTTGCATTAACACCATTGCCCTAATCTGAGAGTCTGCATGACGCTGCTGTTCAGTATTTTATGCATTAACACAATTGCCCTAATCTGAGAGTCTGCATGATGCTGCTGTTCAGTATTTTATGCATTAACACAATTGCCCTAATCTGAGAGTCTGCATGACGCTGCTGTTCAGTATTTTATGCATTAACACAATTGCCCTAATCTGAGAGTCTGCATGACGCTGCTGTTCAGTATTTTATGCATTAACACAATTGCCCTAATCTGAGAGTCTGCATGATGCTGCTGTTCAGTATTTATGTCCTTACCTACAACGACATAGTTTCCACACAGACTGATACACGCGGAGGACTCAATCCTGTCCCCCAGTTCTGTCCTCCACAGCAGTTCTCCCGTCTCAGCAACCAGAGCATACAGGTTGTGTGAATGGGATCCAATGTAGATCTCATGGAACCCAGAACTGTAGTGAGAAAACAGTGTATGTAATGTATCTCATTGATTTCTCTAAATGTATCTCACTGATTTAAACTTTACCTTATGGAACCCAGAACTGTAGGAAATAAACAGTTTATGTTATGAATCTCACTGAGTTAAATTCAAACAGATAAATTCTGTTAATATATGCATGTAGATGCCTTAATTGAAAGTATGGAGAAGTACTTCATTTTAACATTACATCTCTGCAGGATTAGATACCTGGCTTTGACAACAAGAGGAGAGGCATCCACACATTTTCCAGTGTTAAAACTCCACTTCTGTTCCAGTTTCACTTTTGTTCTGTCTCTTTCTGCAGAACTCAATCTTCGTTTTAGTGGATCAGAAGTTATAGCTTTGTCACTCTCTATATCACTATGCATCTGTTCTTTAGAGTTAGGTTTACTGGTACTGTCCATGGTCTTGTTAGATTTATTGTCAGTAGTCCAGTTAGATTTACCATCAGTTATTAGGCTAGGCTTACAGACATTAGTCATACAAATCTTACAGAAATACTGATTACCTCTCATCACACTACTGTTGACACAAGAACATCCTGCCCATAATTTACTGATGGACTCTAATTTTCTTTTCTTGTTTCCACCAGTCATAACTTGATACATAGGGAGGTTTTCACCTCTGTCTGTAGACTGCTTGAACTTTAATATTTTTCTGTGTTTTTCTATACAGTTTACTATATCAGAAAATGTGTCATGTAAAATAATGTCAACCAGTTCTGATACAGTTAATTTAAATTGATCTTCAATAGATCTGGCTAACATGACAGCAGAGAAGGAATCACCTCCACTCAATAAGAAATTGCTCTCCCTTGTTAAATCACAACCTCCAAGTAATTTCTAAGACAGAAAATCCAATTTAATGTTTACACTTTACTGTATATATACACATGATGTAAAAGCTCAAACTGCAGCAATTATATTTATGTCAAGATCGAGTACAACTTACCATCCACTCTTCGCTTACAGTGTCTTCAACTGTGGCTGAAGACTGACCATCAAATTTATCCTGGCAGTTCAGATACTGGGACAATAAAGTATGGAAGTCGCATTTACCTGTAAAATTTACATTTTTAAATCAGGCATTTTGTTGCTAGAAATTATTGTTACATACTGTATTTTCCAGCTTCACACTTACCATGTTTTGTAACGGGAATCTCCTGAATGGGAATGATGTTGTCTGGGGTATATTGCCTGGGCAGCATTCTCCCAATGACTGATTGTAGATGATTCTTTATTGTATGTGTTTTCTGATGTGGAACTACAAAAACAATCAGTCTACTTTTGTGGATCACTGCTTTACAATCAGAAATGGCTGAGTCTGCTAGTGCCACCTGAAATCAGCACAGAATAATTGCTAATAACCTGTGTTCACTGTGTTGTTCTGCTAGAAGACTACAGAAAGGCTGCTCCATTATAACTGACCTTCTCAATTTCTGTGAGGTTAAGTCGGCAGCCATTCCTCTTGACTTGTCTATCTTGTCTGCCAACATACGTAATTCTGCCCTGGCGGTCAATTCTAACAATATCACCTGAATCTCGGAAGTTCTGACCTGATTCCATTGTCTCACCATCTATCATACACTGTCTGCCTTGGCCCCCTTTAACATAAAATATTTTATTTAGTCTCCTCCCTCAGTCATCAATAATGTCCCCTTAATAATGTTGACTCTCCTTTTTATAGTAAGTAAACACTCACAAATATATACAAATGAATGGATTAGTTAGTCTGCCATATGTACAATGCAGTAGTTTGTACCTAAATATAACTTTCCTGTTCCCTCTACCACCTCCACTCCTTCTTCATTCAGAACCCTGTAACTGGACTGTAACAATGGTTTACCAAGGGGAACTTCTTCATTACTATTCCTGAAAAAGAATTATGTACTCTAAAGATTTGGACAAATACCTCACCTATTTCCAACAATAATTTAGTACGTATGACATACAAGGCGTACTGATTATTTTTACCAGAACTCCTGGTCCTCCACACAGTGACACAATGACCAGCAGGAGACCTCAGTGATTCCATACAAATTGATAAACTGAGTCCGATTGCCTGGAGCTCGCCACTCACGAATCTTTCTGAGGGGAGGGAACTCCTCTCCACCCAAGGCAAGAATCCTCAGACTGGATGATGAACTCAAGATGGAATCTCTCACATCAGTAGCAGGTTGTCTTTGTATCAAGGAGGGTGTCGCCTTAATGACATAAATACATTCTGTAACAATATTCATCCATTGGAATGCTATTACAGTCTAAGATACTGGGTATATCAATGCACATATTACATGTATTATAATTCTTTATTGGTTATATAACTGTGATATTCAGAAGAATAACCTGTAGGACTGTAACTTTATTCCTCCTATAAATAACAGACAGTAATTTCTTGGACTGGGCTTTAACATGATCTGGTACAATCAAAAGACTGGCTCCACTTGTCAAGGTCACAAAGATTTCCACAATACTTGGGTCAAAAGTCAAAGGTGAACACAGTAATACCACATCATTGCTCTTCATATCATAAATACTCCTGAAAATTGAGATCTATTTTCAAAACTTTTGTATAGTTACACAATGACAATAAAATGTGGTTCAATAAAGTATGTCCAATGTTGTGTATGATGGGTTCAATACTTGGTTACACATTTTGAAGATATGCATGTCTAAGAATAAATAATTCTATGCATACTTTTGATTTTGTATTAGAAACAATATGCCAGTATAGTGTGCTTTTAGTATACAAGCAATAATTTACTGTAGGAAGAAGATCCTATACAGTACGGTGTGAATTTCCTGCCCTATAAGGATTCTGTTTACCTGATATCTGTGATGTTTGGTATAATACAGCTGTGTGGGACTTGTACTAGCTTAGGTTGCCCTGTAGAACCAGATGTTGTAATACAATAAGCAATATTAGGAATTCCTTCTTTTTTCTCACTTCTTTGTTGAATTTTGAGGAGAGCTAATCCTAGAGATGATAAAAATGAGTTTGTAGTCACCTCTCCACCAAACTTCTGTATCAGTCTCTCTATGACCTGCAGTTAAACAGACATTTAATGTCATTATATGACTGCTTTGTGTAATTAAAAACAATGTATCAGTTAACTTTGCTTTTCTTTTGTATCTGTGTTCAAATAAATTTATTCAACACTCACCTGTGTATCATCATTCTGGACAAGGATTTTACTGACATTTATCCTTTGGAATAATGCTGTGGCACCATCTATACCATACTTGTCAAAATTAAAGAAAGCATGACCACTCTGGACTACTCTGAAAACAGATTTATGAATTTCAAACTACAGGTGTATCTTTCTTTTTAAATACAAACACCCCAAGAACTAAGAATGAATATGATGGGTGGGATTCTGCACATTTTACAAATTAATTCCTTGATGGACCAGTCTGTCATAAAATTTTGCTTTTTATACCAAGGTATCTTTGATGACTTACCCAAAGAGGATAGCCGGAGTAAAGAGGTCAGTTTTTCTACATACAGCTATAACCGAGTTATGAACCATATCCTTGTTTAAAGCATCAGATACCTGAAAAATGTTGGCAAATGCAAATATTCTAAGACAATTTTTATTCTTTGCTGAGTTGCTATGACCAAGATAAATTGACTAATCATTAATCAAATATCTTTCTTACTTTCATCTGTTATTTCCTAAGGATATGTGGCAAATGCAAATAATTTCAAAATATTAATAATGTTTATGTTTTGCTAACTTGTTGTATCATCAGATAAAATGGGCATTTTTCTTACTTTATCTACAATACTGCATAACTGTCTGTATGTTTGTAACTGCTTTCTGTGGAAGTCATCATACACTACAGCCACAGCATCCAGCCTTTCTGTCTCCTTCCTTCTCCAAACTTCTAATAGAGTTGACATAACGGAATAAAGTTTTTCAACAGAAAATTCAAAATGAATAAATAATGCGGGTGGCAGCAATGTTATTTTTTTTAAGAACAATTCAATATGTGTAGGGAATAAAAAAAATAAATAACACTGCCAACTGTTGATGACAATGTTTACATTTTGCGTACAAGTTATCAAATCCAAACAAAAGAATGTTCCCGATTTTAAAACAATGACGGCTTGAACAAAATGTTTTTGGTTTATTTTTTACAATATTTTGAATAATCACGATGAGGAAGTAATTCAATAAAAAAAATTATGATAAAATTAAGTAACAATGGTCACAGTTAACACTAAAAAAAAATCAAAATAATCAATGTACGTCTTGTCAATTAATTCATTTGCACTTCCGGTTAAGGTTTTCAAAACTTAGAAGACAACCCGAAAGTGTTTTTGGGTAAACCCCAGAGAAATGATATGTTATGTTCATGAAGAATAATTAATATTGAAAGGTTTGTTAAATTTTTACCAAAAGGTAAACTTTAACTGTACAAAATGCATTGCTTATTCGCTTCGTGTGATAATTTATTGAGGAAATTCGGTTTTATATTCACTACTTCTACTTCTTTACTTGTAAGAGGTCACCGACCCATCACACAAGTTTGACGTCAGACAAGAGGTGCATTTTAAAATCATCTATTTACAGTAGTAGTGCAGGATAAAAACAATTGAGGAAATTCGGTTTTATATTCACTGTAATATGTTTTACGGTGTGACCGTTGGGGCGAGCGCAGTTGTACCATCAAAAACACTCTAAAAAATTGATCAGCCACTTCAAACATCAAGCAGCACGAGACATCTCGACTACCTGTGATGTCACATGATGTCAAGGAGCTTGTCGGAGCTTATGGAGACAGCCTAGCATCTGTTTGAAACTATAGACCTAGTGCAATTTGTGTCAAAAAAAATTGCAGAATTATTTTTTGTTTCTTTGAAAGATTTCTACAAACTGAAAGCTTTTTATGCTTTACGTTATTGTATATTTATTTATCTATTTCACGGAAGCAACCGACATGACTTAATAAGCATATCGTCAAAATTCGTAAGTTTCCGGTGACGTCATTTGTATCATTTCCGAAGGGCAAGGTGAAGGGCGGTGTTGTGACATGGGGGTATTTTTTTGAATAAGGTAAGGCAAAATCATTTCGTTAAGATTTCGGTAAGAAACAATGTTCCTTTATTTTTTTTACTATTTTTGATTTATTCGCGCAAAGGACATTGGGTAGTGCAGGAATTCTGGGAATGTTGCACAGAGAAATTTGGCTGACGTATGTACAGATTTCAATCCGAATTTCCTCTGTTCTTACATGTTAGTCTATTGAGCTCGCTTTGCGAGCGTCGCTTTGCGACGCTCGCTGCGCTCGCTATTAATGAAAAAAGTCAATTTCTGAGTTATACATGTTTCTATAGCCTTTAAAAGATTAAATCTTGATGTACCTATGACAACACACTGATTTATGAAACCTGGTCCCAGGAATGTTAAGATCATAAAGCATGTGAAACAGACATACATTAATTTTCTAAGAGTCAATTTTATTTTTAGTTAAAATAATTAATGAATGAGTTCTACAACTATATTGCACTGATACCATTGGAGCTGAATATTTTCTGTTTATCTGTTTAATTGCTTTGTATAAACTAACAACTGAAAATTATTTTTTTTCAGCAACATGGCCACCAAAGTTGTAGCGAATCCAGAGATGGATATTTTGAAGGATGAACGTGAGGGTAGACTTCGTGAGGTTGGAAATCAGGCTGTGTGGTCACTGTCCTCTTGTAAACCAGGTAGGCTGTTTCTGTGTAAAAATTCTGACACCCCTCGGTCATGAATGTCAAACACACTTGCAGCAAGAAGACATTTTTAGCTCACCTGAGCGAAAGGCTCAAGTGAGCTTTTCTGATCACAATTTGTCCGTTGTCTGTCGTTGTCGTTGTTGTTGTCATCGTTGTTGTCGTTGTTGTTGTAAACTTTTCACATTTTCATCTTCTTCTCGAGAACCACTGGGCCAATTTCAACCAAACTTGCCACAAAGTATCCTTGGGTGAAGGGGATTTAAGTTTGTTCAAATGAAGGGCCTCGCACTCATTCAAGGGGAGATAATTGGGAATTAATGATAATTTGGTGGTATGTTATAAAAATCTTCTTCTCAAGAACCACTGTGCCAGGAAAGATGAAACTTATGGGGAAACATCCTCACGTAGTGTAGATTCAAGTTTGTTCAAATCATGACCCCCAGGGGTAGGGCGGGGCCACAATGGCCGACCAAAGTTTTACATAGAAATATATAGGAAAATTCTTTAAAAATCTTCTTCTCAAGAACCACTGGGCCAGGAAAGATGAAACTTATGGGGAAACATCGTCAGGTAGTGTAGATTGAAGTTTGTTCAAATCATGACCCCTGGGGGTAGGGCGGGGCCACAATGGCCGACCAAAGTTTTACATCATGACCCCTGGGGGTAGGGCGGGGCCACAATGGCCGACCAAAGTTTTACATAGAAATATATAGGAAAATTCTTTAAAAATCTTCTTCTCAAGAATAACGAAGCCATAATTGATCATATTTATATGGAAGCATCCTCAGGTAGTGTAGATTCAAGTTTGTTCAAATCATGACCCCCGGGGGTAGGACGGGGCCATAATGGCCGACCAAAGTTTTACATAGAAATATATAGGAAAATTCTTTAAAAATCTTCTTCTCAAGAATAACAAAGCCTTAATAGATCATACTTATATGGAAGCATCTTTTGGTAGTGTAGATTCAATTTTGTTCAAATCATGACCCCCGGGGGTGGGGCGGGGCAACAATGGCCGACCAAAGTTTTACATAGAAATATGTAGGAAAAACCTTTAAAAATCTTCTTCTCAAGAATAACAAAGCCATAATTGATCATATTTATATGGAAGCATCTTTCGGCAGTGCAGATTCAAGTTTGTTCAAATCATGACCCTGGGGGGTAGGGCAGGGCCACAATGGCCAACCAAATTTTTACATAGAAATATATATAGGAAAATTCTTAAAAAATCTTCTTCTCAAGAATAACAAAGCCATGATTGGTCATTGGACTACTTCTGGATTTAAACTATTTAATTATAAACCAATTTCTACTTTTTTCTAGCCACAGTGCTCAGGTGAGCGATGTGGCCCATGGGCCTCTTGTATTTGTTTAGGATGGTACATCTTAAGTTTATAACTTTACTTTGGTCGCAAAGATATCACAGTATTTCATTCTGTGATCATTCACTTTGTGTTTAGAAGAAAATTACTTAGACTTGGAAGTACAATGTATTCACATGTATTCATTTGGTCAAAGGCCAATTAAGTACAGGTGTATTATACAAGGCTATCTCTATAAATACCTGTGTGGAATAATAAAGTCGTAATTGTCCCTAGGTTTTGGTGTAGAGCAGCTACTGGATAATACAGTGGACACATACTGGCAGTCCGATGGACCACAACCGCACCTGGTCAACATCCAGTTCAGGAGGAAAACCACCATCCACGATGTGTGTATCTACACAGATTATAAAGCTGATGAGAGCTACACACCTAACAGGTATACATTCACGATGTGTGTATCTACACAGATTATAAAGCTGACGAGAGCTACACACCTAACAGGTATACATTCACGATGTGTGTATCTACACAGATTATAAAGCTGACGAGAGCTACACACCTAACAGGTATACATTCATGATGTGTGTATCTACACAGATTATAAAGCTGACGAGAGCTACACACCTAACAGGTATACATTCACGATGTGTGTATCTACACAGATTATAAAGCTGACGAGAGCTACACACCTAACAGGTATACATCCATGATGTGTGTATCTACACAAATTATAAAGCTGACGAGAGCTACAGACCTAACAGGTATACACCCACGATGTGTGTATCTACACAAATTATAAAGTCGACGAGAGCTACAGACCCAATAGGTATAAAACTGCTACACACCCAATAGGTATAAAACTGCCCATCTGATCAATTTAACAGCTTCAAACATTACAAGCCTATCCAAATCACACAGCTACATAGGTAACAAAATCACACAACTCAGCTTAACATTTAAAATGTATCACTACTCAATAGTCAAAATTACATAATACCTAATATACCTAAAAACTAGAACCTGATCAATTTCAAAACTGCACATCTCAAAGATATTAAAACTACACACTTCATAGAATCAAAACTTTACACCTCAGACATCAAAACTGCACACCTCATTGATTTCACTGCTACCACCTTAAATACATGTATTACCTGGTTAAACTACACATGTATTATTAGCGCTGGTGCCAAGATCGCTAAAATTGAACATCGCTAACAATTAATTGCGTTTTCTTTGTAATAGCTTCTTAAGTGAGCATTTAATAATTGCTTAAATTACATATCGCTAAAAATAAAATACTAGTTCTTAAGGACAAATCGCTAAATTTGCATCTCACTAAAATTTCCACTTATACGGTATATTGAAACTGAATACTGTAAACCAACTTTTATTCGCGTGCGAGAAATTTTCGCGAGGTTCGCGAGAGCCTCGTCATCGCGAATATTTCTCGTCGCGAACAGGTCCTCAAAGTCTCTTTTTCTATTAAAAACAGTTCCAAAAACGGCTTGATCGCGAAAATTAATCGTCGCGAATTAGTTTACTCTCGGTAAATCGCGAAATAAAGTCGACGCGAATAAAAGTTGGTTTACAGTACCTCAAACACATCAAAACTGCAGACTGTATAGATATCAAAACTACAGCCACATCTTATAGCTGTCACACACACCTCAATGATATCAAAACTACAGTCAAATCTTACAGCTGTCACACACACCTCAATGATATCAAAACTACAGCCACATCTTATAGCAGTCACAGCTACACACCTCAATGATATCAAAACTACAGTCACATCTTATAGCTGTCACAGCTACACCTCTCAATGATATCAAAACTACAGTCACATCTTATAGCTGTCACAGCTATACACCTCAATGATATCAAAACTACAGCCATGTCTTATAGCTGTCACAGCTGCACACCTCAATGATATCAAAACTACAGTCAAATCTTATAGCTATCACATCTACACACCTAAATGATATCAAAACTAGTCACATCTTATAGCTGTCATAGCTACACAACTCAATGATATCTAAACTACAGTCACCTCTTATAGCTGTCACAGCTACACACCTCAATGATATGAAAACTACAGTCACCTGTATAACTTTTAGAGGAAAACCTATTTTTCTGCATTTTTTAGCTCTACTGGTCAGAGACCAGAAAAGCTTATGCGATAGTAATGCGTCCGTCGTCCGTCCGTCTGTGTGTCCGTCCGTCCGTCCGTCCGTCCGTCTGTCTGTCTGTCTGTCTGTCTGTCTGTCTGTAAACAATTTTTCAAAATGCTACTCCTCCTACAGTTTTGGTCCGATTTCAATATAACCTGGCACACAAGTAGACTACACCAAGATACATAATTTTGTGCATCAGTTTATGATTTCGAAGAATGGTGTTGCCGTGGGTACTAAAAATAGAAATTTCTGTGAAATTCTTTCGAAATGCTACTCCTCCTACAGTTTTGGTCCGATTTCAGTATAACTTGGCACACAAGTAGACTACACTAAGATACATAATTCTGTGCATCAGTTTTTGATTTCGATGAACGGTGTTGCCGTGGTTACTAAAAATAGAAATTTCTGTGAAATTCTTTCGAAATGCTACTCCTCCTACAGTTTTGGTCCAATTTCAATATTACTTGGGACACAAGTAGACTACACTAAGATACATAATTCTGTGCATCGGTTTTTGATTTCGATGAATGGTGTTGCGGTGGTTACTAAAAACAGAAATTTCTGTGAAATTCTTTCGAAATGCTACTCCTCCCACAGTTTTGGTCCAATTTCAATATTACTTGGCACACAAGTAGACTACACTAAGATACATAATTCTGTGCATCAGTTTTTGATTTCGATGAACGGTGTTGCCGTGGTTACTAAAAATAGAAATTTCTGTGAAATTCTTTCGAAATGCTACTCCTCCTACAGTTTTGGTCCAATTTCAATATTACTTGGGACACAAGTAGACTACACTAAGATACATAATTCTGTGCATCGGTTTTTGATTTCGATGAATGGTGTTGCCGTGGTTACTAAAAATAGAAATTTCTGTGAAATTCTTTCGAAATGCTACTCCTCCCACAGTTTTGGTCCAATTTCAATATTACTTGGCACACAAGTAGACTACACTAAGATACATAATTCTGTGCATGGGTTTTTGATTTCGATTAATGGTGTTGCCGTGGTTACTAAAAATAGAAATTTCTGTTAAATTCTTTCTAAATGCTACTCCTCCTACAGTTTTGGTCTAATTTCAATATAACTTGGGACACAAGTAGACTACACTAAGATACATAATTCTGTGCATCGGTTTTTGATTTCGATGAACGGTGTTGCCATGGTTACTAAAAATAGAAATTTCTGAGAAATTCTTTTAAAATGCTACTCCTCCTACAGTTTTGGTCCGATTACAATATAATTTGGCACACAAGTAGACTATACTAAGATACATAATTCTGTGCATCGGTTTTTAGCTCTACTCATCAGAGACCAGAAGAGCTTATGCAATAGTAAGGTGTCTGTCGTCCGTCCGTCTGTCTGTCTGTAAACAATTTTTCAAAATGCTACTCCTCCTACAGTTTTGGTCTGATTTCAATGTAACTTGGCACACAAGTAGACTACACTAAGACACATAATTCTGTGCATCGGTTTTTGATTTCGATGAATGGTGTTGCCGTGGTTACTAAAAATAGAATTTTCTGTGAAATTCCTTTAAAACACTACTCCTTTTACAGTTTTGGTCTGATTTCAATTTAACTTGGCACACAAGTAGACTACACTAAGATACATTAAATAGTGCATCAGTTTTTGATTTTGATGAATGATGTTGCCATTAGTACTAAAAATAGAAATGTCCGTGAAATTCCTTTAAAACATCACTCCTTCTACAGTTTTGGTCTGATTGCAATGGCTTCTTTTCTTATCCTTTGTTATAAGTACAAACCAGTAGAGCTACAGTCTCGACAGAGACTTCTGGTTTCATTTACATGCATTGAAATTCACAATGTCTTAGTAATTCATGATTTTTGTATCATCTGATTTTTGTATATTTCCAGGATTTCTCTTCGTGCTGGTACACACTTTAATGACCTCATAGAAGTAGATCAGATAGAACTCAGTGAACCAGTGGGCTGGGTATGTGTTCCAATGAAAGATATCAGTGATAAACCTATCCGGACATTCATGGTACAGATAGCTGTGCTTTCAAATCATCAAAATGGACGAGACACACACCTTCGTAGAATTAAAATTCGATCTCCTGTTCAGGACACATATGTTGTTAAAACACCAAAGTTCACCAGTCTAGAACTAATGCAGCTGGCCTATATAAAGTGAGTTATGGTGGAACATTATGATGTGATAAGCAGTATGCTGAACTTAGATGTAAGAAGCAGTGTTGCTGAACATTATGTCGCAATTCTGCATAGAAATACAACTATCTAAGACAGTTAGCCTAGTAAATTTAATTTACTGGCCCAACACAATTCAACAATCTTTATGGGTGTTTTGGTCAAATGAAAAAGCATTTTGTTTAAAGAATGAATTGTCAAAGTATTTCCAACAATGATCAACTTATGCATGTTCAATGTATATTACATTAAGTTTAACTATTCAAATGTACATTAAGCTATACATTTTTTTTAACCTTTAAAATTCATAGTTTAGGTATATTTAAGAAATATTAACAAAAACAATGAAATGTAACAAAAGATTATCATAATTTTACCCAATAGATATTAAAACCACTCAAGCAGTGTGCACAATGTATATAAATTAAGTCAAGCATTTTGGCTCTAAGTTGCTTCTATTTTTTAAAATAAGGCTGGAGGACTGCCTTGATGCCCTCAGAGAATGGTGTCCTCCTCCCAGAGACGAGAGCTTCCATTCTCTTACAGGAGAGGTGGGTGTTGTAAGGGCGGAGCGCCCCCTTGGATGGGCTTCTGTCAGGTTTTATGTTCTCTGTGCTCAATGAGAATGCAGAGGCCATGGCAACAGACATGTCATATTTAGTCATTTCCTCTTTAGATGACCAGTGAAACACACCACATACTTTCTCAGGATCCTGTGAATGCAACAAAAAAATTTAAGTACAAAATGTTTAAAAAACAAGATGTGTTTGTGAAACACTATGCGCCCGGCGGCAATAAATAAATTAAAAAAAAAAAACATTTTTAGCATAAAGATCACAGTGAAGGTCACAAGGTCATTGATCTTGGTGTCATTCGTAAGACCTTAATTAGTGAAGTATGCATACCAAATATCAAGTCTCTATCTTTTATGGCTCAAAAGTTATGGTGAAGGTTCAAAAAAGCTATTTTTAGCATATAAGACACAGTCAAGCTGACAAGGTCATTGACCTTGGTGTCATGTGAAAGGGCTTTATTAGTGGAGTATGCATGCCAAATATTAAGTCTCTATCTTTCTCCGTTCAAAAGTTCCATCAAATACATAGTCAGTGCTAATATACAGGACCCAGGCACCGATGCTCTCTAAAATGCAATACAGATGTAACTGGAGAAGAAGAATTTGAGAAATAGACAGGTCTCTATCTTTTATGGCTCAAAAGTTATGGTGAAGGTTCAAAAAAGCTATTTTTAGCATATGACACAGTCAAGCTGACTAGGTCATTGACCTTGGTGTCATGTGAAAGGGCTTTATTAGTGGAGTATGCATGCCAAATATTAAGTCTCTATCTTTCTCCGTTCAAAAGTTATGGCGAAGGTTAAAGTTTGCCGTCAAAAAAGCTATATTTAGCGTATAGGCCACAGTCAAGGTCACAAGGTCATTGACCATGGTGTCTTTTAAAAAGGTTAATAAGCGTTGTACGTATACCAAATATGAAGTCTCTATCTTTTATGGTTCAAAAGTTATGGCAAAGGTTAAAATATGTAAAAAAAACCTCTATTTTTAGCATATAGGTCACAGTAAGGTCATTGACTTTGGTGTCATTTGAAAGAGCTTCATTAGTGAAGTAGGCATACCAAATATGAAGTCTCTATCATTCATGGTTCAAAAGTTATGGCGAAGGTCAAAGTTTGCAGACAAACAGACAGACAGACAGACAGGACAAAAACAATATACGCCTCGGATCTTTCGATCCGGGCGCATAATTAATTATGAAGCACTGATACAAACAAATCAGAGACCATTCTGTAGTGTTGTTAGTGCTTGAGCTCACCTGAAGCCTTTTGTCTGCTAGCTGTCTAATAGCATCAGCTATGTCACCACAGTGGGTGGGGTATCTCTTCTCATAATCTGATGCTATTAATTCAGATCCCGCCATGATCTTTTCAAACAATACTGTGACGGCACTCTCAGAGAGGTACTCAATATCTCCATACAGGATGGGTACTCGCAGTACAGAATTATCTGTAACAGTTTTGGAAATCAACTTATTACATGTATTACCAGTTTAAATCCTTTACAAGATATCATGAATGCCATGACTTTCCCAGTTTCTTCCAAATGAATTTTTTTTTTTACACATATTCACTAAACTCAAACCTTTTGAAAAAGAGTTATTGTTATAAAACATTAAAATAGAAAGAAAAGAAACTCGTCAGTTTTACTAGAGTTGAGTTTTAATTTTATTAACAAATAGTTACCTGAAGATGCTTGTAGTGTAATTTTTTCACCATCAAGTTTACTCTGTCCGTACTTATTGAGAGGGTTAGGCTTTGCATCCTCTTCATAAGGAGGGGAAGTCCCATCAAATACATAGTCAGTGCTAATATACAGGACCCAGGCACCGATGCTCTCTAAAATACAATACAGTTGTAACTGGAGAAGAAGAATTTGAGAAATAGACAAAGGGTTGACATGAGTCCCCTGGAACACTAGTCAGGTGCTCTTTCAAATGAGCTATCTGTCCAGTAATTCAAGGGGACAGCTGGGGTTGAATCCTAGTTTGGTCTATTGCATCTTCCCCCGAAGGTTATATTTGGTGTGTCATGCCCTGGAAATATCAGGTAAAAGAGTCTGGGTTGATGGGTTTGAAGATGAAGACTGTATAGGAGGGAGGGGTGTGACAGTCTGGCAGGTTTAATCACCAGTGACCAGATAGCTCAGGGGGCCTGGGTTTGAATCCTGGTCTGTTCTGTTGTATCTTTTTTCCTCGACGGTTACCAATAAACAGTACTGCATGTGTATGTTACCATGCTTTGGAATACATAATTTGTCATTAATTAAACACAGTCTGGAGTACTTTCTGGGTGGAACCTTCTCTTTTAAACATTTATAAAACTTTATTAAAATATAATTCTGATAGCTAATGATATTCATTTCAGACTGAATGACTTTATAATGATGAAATTTAAGTAAACACAGTGTTGAAGTATTTATCTCCCCTTACTTGCAGCCTGACAGATGTACTCTGTGGCAGACAGATTAAGGTTCTTGGTGCCCTCAGGGTCATTTTCCACTGCATCAGGTTTCCTCTCTGCAGCACTGTGGATTATAACTGATGGCTGTTTCAAACAAAAAATCATGATTTGTTTGATTGGGCTTTTCTATTATATGTATTGTACATATGCTTATGTGTCAGTGAGTATTTCTTAAACAAATCAGCAAAAAAGCTCACTTTAAAAGAGTTGATGACTTCTTTTACTTGGCTTTCATCAGTGATGTCCACCTTCTTTAGTTTATCTTTAGCCCGACTGAAAGCGAGACCCAATGTCTCCCAGGAGTTATCACTCAGGAATTCCTTGTAAATGGCTCTCCCAAAAAGACCTGAAGCACCCGTAACAAGGACTCGCTTCGTCATAATCTAAAATGTATATTGACAATGGAAAAGTGGTTAAATGGGGCATACATTTATACACTAAATAATAATAATAATATAAAACAAGATGTATCTGTGAAATATTGATGCCCCTGTATGGCAACATAGCGAAGATTAAATCCAATAAAAGGTCTTGTTACAAATTAAGAATACATATGTAAATTATGAAAGTCCTTGTATCTAATCGTTCCAAAGTTATGGTCAAAGTAAAGTTTAGAATTTTGTGTAAAAGTGTGTAATACTCCAACGTCAAGGTCAAAAGTGTACCCCAAAAAGGTCTTGTCACAAATAATACACATGTGAAATGATGAAAGTCATAGCTCCACTAAATCAAAAATTATGAACGAGATTAAAATTTTGCAGAAAAACAGACGGACGGACACGACAAAAACTATATACCTCCGAATCTTCGATTACGATGGGATAAACAATAAGTTACGGCGCACTCTCTCTCATATTGCACAAATACGAATTTGTGTGATAATGTTTCTGCTTAACTTTATAAGAAATTATTTATTTAAAAAAAAAACCTAGCTAGTTTAAGAAGGCAACATTAAATATGGTAACTGCTCTCTACAGAGAAGAATAGCAAACCTAACATAACAAATATATAAACTGGTAACACCTGTTGTAAAGTTTCGATAAAGTGAAAGTAGAACTTTCGGTCGGGATCGGGGATCTATAATCGTATTCAAGATAGCTCGAACAAAAGACAATTCGATTCAAGTGGCTTGAAATTCATGGAAACTAACGAACAAGGAATGCAAAAAGCATATATAACTTCAGATATGTTTATAAATCCTATTCATTTTGTGAATAAAGTTTTAAGACTTTGAAGTTGTTATCATTAAAATTTATTTTGAGAAAATAAAATTGTTTTGAAGAATTTTGTTTCTGGCAAATATATTAGAACGATTGAAAAAAAGGATCGAAGTCTTGGGACTCAAACATTAGTAGTAAAATTCCCAAGTATTATTTTTTCTTTTAGGTCTACATTTTAAACACTTATGCTACATATTGCATAACAAAAAAGACCTATTTTTTGACTTTTGAAAAAAAAGACTTTATACTATTAATCAGCTGCCATTATTTCTAGGAAAGATACGAAAGGGTTACTAAAGGTATAATGGGTCGTTGCTCCATGTTTTGTTGACCAAAAAGTATATTTCTATACATACCTTAAATAAAAATTTAAAAAAAAGCAAAGACACACTAACATGGAAAAGAAAATGGGTGAAGAGGTAATCGCAGTGTATCGTGCGACAATATGAAGTGAAAAAATGAAACTCAATATTACTAGTGTATCGACATACTAGTATTATAAATATTTGATCTAACATTATAGTAAACTAAACTTTATGTAAAATCTCTATAATTTACAAAAATCTTACAAAGACTGAAATTATTTGCCTATGAAATAACACATATACACACTAAAGAGGACAAAATATTAAAGGACCAGTCATCATTTCGCATGCTTTAAAAAATCAATATGAGTGGATCTTCCCTCCAGTTTTTGAAAGTTGATCCCAAGAGTTTGCATAAAAATATGTATTTGTTAACAAAACCATGGAACAAAGACCAACTCATGAACTGTACTTAAAAAAACTTTTTTTTTGTCAGCTAGAACATTCGCATCTTTCCGGCCAAAAGATACTTGAACAGTGTTAAAGTCTATTAAGTCAAGGGTCATATCACATTTTTTTTGTAAATGCCACTATTCGTTAAGAGATGTGTTGCCAATATTGGTTAGCGCATTAGTCTCAAAGCAATATGATGAGCGGACACTGCAGATTTTTATTGCCAGCCAGGGTTTGAATCCCACGAACACCATATTTTTCAATGGAAGAATAGTTTTTAATCAGAGATTTTTTCAGAAAAGGGTTGTTTATCAAAAATACATGTATATTTCATTAATTTCAATGGGAACTTTACTTTAAATACTTAATCCCAAAAAACTGCATGAATATGATTTTAATGTATAATTCTGAAGCTAAAGACATTCTGTAAATACATGTGCATGTATAACGGGCATCAAGGGGGGGGGGGGGGGGTAAAGATGCTGTCACTGTATAAGTTTTTAATCAGAGATTTTTTCAGAAAAGGGTTGTTTATCAAAAATACATGTATATTTCATTAATTTCAATGGGAACTTTACTTTAAATACTTAATTCCAAAAAACTGCATGAATATGATTTTAATGTAATTCTGAAGCTAAAGACATTCTGTAAATACACGTGCATGTATAACGGGCATCAAGGGGGGGGGGGTTAAAAGATGCTGTCACTGTATAAAAACACTTTTGCCCTCCTCGATGAGTAATGCTGATCATAGACAAATAATTTCCAGATATATTTGTGAGATGTTTTTAAAATTTTGGAGATTGCACTTACTAGGTAGTATAAGTTAATGTTAGATGAATTACCAAAGAGCATTCTGTTATAATGAGATTTATATTTTTTTCACCTCCTTATGCACTTATGCAGTTTGCCGGGCTTGTTCATGAACAATTGTTCACAGGCGTATTCCTTGTGACAACACCTTTCTTTGGGTACCACCAAATTTGACATCTTGACCTTGAGGTTTGACCCACTTTTACAAAAAAAAAAAAAAAAAAAAAAAAACTTTTAGGACGGATGATACAAACAAACTTTTGTCAAAAATTTTGAAAATGACAACTTTTGGTCATGTTTTAATAAATATTAAAAATGAATACGTTTCACCGCGTACCTAGTTTCTACACATAAATGGAATTTAAAGTGAAAAATATTTGTATAGAATAATAAGGATGGTTTCAGAAGGGTAGAGTTTTGAACATCACAGAAGGTTTACAATTTCTTTATACTCTTAGTCTAGAAATTTATCATTTGCATCATTTGCAATGAAATAAGGTCAAAAAATATGTACCAATCCAGACATCCATTTTTGTTTGTTTGTATATCTGCCCTTAACGTTGGTCATAACTTTTAACAGTTGGAGCTAGTGCTTTCATATTTTATATGTGTATTTTTTGTGACAAGCCCTAGCTTTCAGTTGGTATAATTGTATTTTGACCTTGACCTTAGAGTTTGACCCAGTTTGTAAAAAAAGTTTGACCTTGGGCCATAACTTTTAAACAGTTAGTACTAAGGGCTTTCATATTTCACAGGTGTATTCCTTGTGAAAAGTCCTTACATTTGATACCAACAATTTTGACCTTGACCTTGGAGTTCGACTTTTATTTAAGAAACTGTAACTTTAGCCAATAGCTGTCATACAGGGACATCTGGGCTGTTATAATTGTATGTAAAGAACCTTAAGTGTACCCTGGATCAATCATTTTTCATTAAAGCAATATCATTTGGGTTGGATGACAAAAGCATTGAACAATAAAAAGCTTGATGGATTCATTTTAGCTTGGCAAAGTTAATTCTTTTACAAAAAATTACCCGGTAACACGCTTTAATCTTAGTCAAAACTATTGAATAGATAGTACTTATAAGGGATTTCATACTTCACATGTGTAATTACTGTGAATAGACCTTTCAGTGACTATAATTTTTAACCCTTTGACCTTGACCTTAGATTTTGACCCACTTTTTTAAAAACTTGGCTATAACTTTTTAACAGTTAGAACATTTAACTAGGGCTTTCATACTTCATAGGTGTATTCTTGTGACAAGACCTTACTTTGGGTACCAACTATTTTTACCTTTTGACATTTGATCTTTGAAGTTTGACATGCATTTGAGAAAATTCAACCTTGCCATAAACTGAAACACATCTTGTTTTTTAAAGCCATCATGAGTAGATTTCTTGTGCAAATGTGCTATTCGATCACTTACATGGGATACGTATTTTTCTGCAACAGCTTCAACATTAATTCCCATACTACCAACAAAAGAGAGTACATATTTTATTGTTTAAATAATTATGGTAAAAGTTACTAATTCATTTTTCCATCACTAAATATAATTAAAACTGTAAAAAGATAAATTGAATAGAACATCCCTCCACCACTGGGTGGCCGAGGGAGATTGGAGGTACACACATGTACACATTTGATAATCAACAGCTTTAATTGGGACTAAATAACTCTATAAAGCCTCTGTTATTCCATTGAAGACTTTCATACTTTTTCATGCTTATATAAAAGTTTTTTTTAATGAAAATTGATTACAATCTGAATTAATTCTGATGACAATCAGAAATGGATTTGGTTTGTATCACAGAAAATAAAACTGATATAGTGGGAGTATGTAATTACTGATCAGTCTTTCAGAAGATCAAACATAACCTCCCGCTGTACACCGGTATAAACATCCTTTGCTTTAAATCTGAGTTCTGTTTCTCCAAAAATTAAAGATTCCTCGATTTCACAAGTTGTCTGCTTGCCATCAGCCGATAATGGAACTTGTAGAACCCCAAGTAACCTACATCCATGCTCATCGACGTAAGTTGGATTCTTCTGATCAGAAATGAATACGCCACACTCAAGGCACTTTTCCTGGCTATTCAGAGCTTGAAAGATCTGGGATTTGGTGTAACCTGGCATGATCTTTTCACCTTTAGTAATGACCTTGAAGAATACATCTCGACATCGCATCGATCCTCGAACATTGACTTTCTTTGTTTCCTGATGGAACCCTGGTCTAAATTCTGGCCATGTCTGGATTCCGTACGTATAACGTGCTGATCTCCGCGAGATGGCATCAGGAACGTGACCAAAAAATACAGCACCCTTCAAAACAGCTAGCCCCGCTTCCTCTGGTACGATAATTTTCTTATGTTCAAAGTTTTTCCTAATGGCGTCCTGGACAAGCATGCATTCCGAGAACCCCCCTACCATAACAATAATGTCTACCTCTCTCACTTCATTCTCATCAAACAATTCGTCGATATGTTTCACAATGCTGTCGATAGTTTTCTTGAAAAATCCAGAAAAGTACTCGTTACTCCACTTCAGTTTTCCTCCACCATATTTCACATTACTTTTATGCATTGTGTTTTTCTCAATAACGTCCTTAAAGTCTTTTACGTTGTGCATGTCAGCACACAACTTGAAGAAGGCTTGTGGTATTGTCATATTTGTCATCCCTGCTTTGTTAGGTTTTATAGTTCTTTTCTTTGTTTCAAACACTCTCATGATTTCCAAATAATCTTCCATGTGTTTTTCCTTAAAGGCTTCCATTACGTTCTCTCCTGCCAATTCAGTCAGGAATTTTATGAATGCATCATCCACGGATTTTCCTCCCCATGGACCCCCGCTGGCAGGAAGGACTTCCTCTAGAGTATTGTCCTCACACTTCTGGTGAACTGTGATGTCAGCAGTACCACCTAAAAAAACAAACCAGACCTGTTATAGTTTACTCAAACTGGAAAAGAATCCTGAATATCAATGATTGTATCTGTCAATCTGTCATTTGAAGAGGAGCCTTATCCTTGAAGAATTAGAATTAGGAGTGCAGTCTGTTATAAAAGCTCCTCAAAAGCAAAATTGTTTCAAATGTTTTTTCCTACCTGAATTTAAATTGTTATGTCTGAGGAAGCTGCAAATTTAAAGCTCCCTTGTCTAAAAGAATATGGGATGGATGACCAGAGAACTTAACAGTGCCACCCATAGAAAAAACTGTATATTTATAGAAAACAAAAAGTTGTGATCAGATTTGGATTAATTTCTCCAAATTCTTACCTAAACTG